TGGTGAAGGGATGTGGGGGAGGGTACCCAGGACCGTTTCAGATATCGCTCCCCAAAACTGATGTTGGCTGTGGTGAGGAAACGAAAGTCAGGTCACAGGGTTCATGGCGCAATGCGCTGACCACTGCGCCACCGCTCAACCCGCATCGCAAACAAAAAAATCACCCCCCCTCCTCCTTCCTCCATAACCTTTTGATGAATTGCCACGATTCTCGGTCAGCGACTCGATTTCAGAATCGGAGGAGGTTGGCCTACTCTTCTTGCACGCGAGCTCAAGGAATGCCTGTCGCGCGTCACACATTTCTCGAGCCCACGCTGCATGTGGCTATGATTAAAATAAATTACTGTACGTTTCACACGTAATCAGGGGCTCACGTATATAATCCGAGCCATGTGAATCCACAGAGCTAAACAACTCCGAGCTTGGCCTCAAGCCACGGCAAGGGAACCGACGGCACGGATGGCTGGGGGGGGGGGAGTTTAACACAGTGGTGGCAGGGGGGCAGCAGAGGAGCGAAGGAGGAGAGGACTGCTGATTCGCTCATTTTTATTTCATGCGGGTTGAAAATGTACATTGCAAGTTTAATGGATTTTACATGTTCGTGAGCGGCTGCATATCACTGGCTCAAAACGGACTCATGCAGGTTGGGGGAAGCTGGTGTTGCTTGGCTGCACAAAGACAAATATCCCGCATATAGCCTCAACAGACAGTTGGGGCAAGTACTACACACACAACCACACATTATAGAGGTGTAGGGCACAGGTGTAGAGAGCACAGGTGAGAATCTATACACAGGGCAAGCTGAATGAATCACTCCATCTCCCCGCAGGGGATGTCCCCTCCCGTGCTCATCATTCGGGAATGGACATTGTCGGCTCACCCAAGGTCAGGAGGGGTCATACGCAGACAACGCTGTCTGTGGTGATTCCGTCGCATTTATAGCAATCGCTTTCTTCCTTTTGCTACAAAGTCGCACACCCAATGTTCAAGGGCGGCTTCTGCAGTCTCAGCACACTCACCGCCATCCATCTGGCTTTAGGTCTTCCCGTGAGTCGCTGACCTCTGGGCGTCACTTCAATTCCTGTCTTGGTAGCCTTCCCTCTTCCATCCTGCACCCGTGTCCCACCCATCGCAACCTCCTCTTCCTTACGACATCACCCGCACTTTCCTGCCACGTTCTATTCCCAACCTACAAGTTGCTTACCCTATCCTCCTCCATCCTGCACCCGTGTCCCACCCATCGCAACCTCCTCTTCCTTACGACATCACCCGCACTTTCCTGCCACGTTCTATTCCCAACCGACAAGTTGCTTACCCTATCCTCCTCCATCCTGCACCCGTGTCCCACCCATCACAACCTCCTCTTCCTTACGACATCACCCGCACTTTCCTGCCACTTTCTATTCCCAACCTACAAGTTGCTTACCCTATCCTCCTGCATCCTGCACCCATGTTGTCCTTTCCCCCGCACCTCCAATTATAAGCACAGTTGGCTACGTACGGTGCGAAAAAAGTTCAACATACGCGTACGTACATTACTAACATCTGCATGTGCGTCTGCGTGCTTGCCCGTTGCTGTAACGGGGATCTACATGGCGCGTGTCGTAGTCGCGGCGTCTTGCGACCGTGGCGGTGGACATGAGGCGCGCTGATCATGTTCTGCAAGCTGCCCTGTCTACTGTGGCCAGGGTCATCAGGTGTAGGTGGTGAGACATTGGGGCGATTTGCGGATAACAATCGCAGGAGGCCTGGTCATTGACTCAGAAAACAATACAAGGGGTGCGCTTTGACATTCTGTGTATTTGTCGGGAGGGCCGCACGTTAGGGGCCGCACTGAAGGCCACCAGGGACCGCCAGTGGCCCCGCGGGCCTTGCAATGAAGAACACCGCTCTAGACATAGATCGTCGACGCAATCGGCCGTGGCCTATCCACTGCTGTATGAGGGCCTCCCTGACACGGTAGTGCGTCATCGCAACACCCACGCGCAGCCGGGCGAAACCAAGCAGCAGGTGACGCGACACGGCCACAAGGCAGGCCACAGACAGCGGGTCTCAGAGATCTATACAAGATGGGTATAGCGAGGGATCTGGTATCCACAAACATTATATATGAGGGGTGGGTGGGTAACCTGCCGTGCAAATCACAGGCCGTATGCCATATTGTCACATCAACAAGCATTCCTACACACCACCCGAACCAACTGCTGGCATTTAAATGCGCCTGATCATTCCCGGTGAGAATCGGAATATGTATTTGTGCTGGAGTGCGATGGGCTATTAAACTATTTTCACAGATGTCCAGTATCAACCTCCATCACCCGATACCATCAGACGTGTGTAGTGACAGAAGGCCTATTGCCCACGTCGCCTGTTATTGAAATGAATCCACAGTGTCAATTGAGATTTGAATCTTTCGTAGGAATCCATACTCTTTGGTTCTTTCGGTAAAGTCACGTAGGTATAAAATAATATTATTTTATATTATTTTATACCTAAAAAATAATATAAAATAATATTATTTTAAAATAATATTATTTTATATTAATTTATACCTACGTGACTTTACCGAAAGAACCAAAGAGTATGTAATCCACAGTGTGTTATTGATCATAGTGTTGTTGTTGCTGTTGTTGTTGCTGTTGTTGTTGCTATGGACCTTTGTCAACTAAGCCAAGCAGGATAATTTGTACCTGGACAGTGCTTGGATGTGGCTTGTCACTACCGTCATTAATATCGTATCGTTGGAACTTTCTTCTCACCGTCCATTGCCAACCATCCGTCACCTCCCTGGCCGTGACGTGCCCTCCAGGTGCCCATCAGGTTGAACAACATCGCGTTTGTAAACAACAGGCACTCATAATTATCTCACAGATGGGTGGGGTGGTGCATTACAGCACCGTATTTGTCAAATTCTAATTCAGCGCGGTTAACTGGCCATCAATTTTAATTATGTTCGGCTATAATCACGTTAGTCGAATACTCGTAAATATACTCGGTTGGCGTAATCGATTGCTTTAAGAATCCAAAAAGCCAAATACTAATAATGTCCATAAGAGGTTTTTTTTGGGGTTAGATCGCGTAAATATGTGTCGTTAAACCCGCCACCACCCGACACAGCCAATCAGTATGGTTTGTCACGTAAACAGAACGTGGCCAATTCGTCACTAGTACAGCACTAGTGTGTAGTGTAGTGTATAGTGTAGTGTATAATGTAGTATACTAGTACAGCACTAGTGTATAGTGTAGTGTATAGTGTAGTGTATAGTGTAGTATACTAGTACAGCACACTGGTGTGTTGGAGAGCCAAGCCACGACATTTACAATCCGAGTACGACGTTTCGCCAGTAATTACAACCAGCTTCATCAGGCGACAGCCAGATTTGTGGAGAAGTCCACCTGTTTCGTTCCTTATATAGAGCAGTAGATGTGTATATGGAGCCGTAGATGTGTATATGGAGGCGTAGATGTGTATATGGAGCCGTAGATATGTAATTGTACAAAACACGAGGATATTCTATGGGAACCTCATTTGCCAGTAAACATATGATAATTGGTTTTTTACCCTTCTATCTGGCAACAAAACTGACACCTTTTAACAAAGAGTCATGTTTGCATAGACCGCAATACCTGCAGTCTTTGAGTTGTGCGCCTTTTGGCGTCATCTGGTCCAACACCATGTGAGACTAGGCCAGGGGTCGGCAACCTACGGCTCCGGAGCCGCATGCGGCTCTTTACGGGCTGCTTCTTGACGATGGTACTACTCAGATGCATTGCGGCTCTTGAAATACTGAATTTTGTACCGAATTGGAAAGAAATGGCTCTTCTCGTTATTTTGGTTGCCGACCCCTGGACTAGGCTCTAAGGAAAGCTGTCTCGGGTGTGGACCAATCAACTTCAAGGACAGTGCACATTATCAGAGTTGTCTTTTGTTCGTATTATGACTGCAGGTATTGCGGTCTATGCAAACATGACTCCTTGTAAAAAGGTGTCAGTTTTGTTGCCAGATAGAAGGGTAAAAAAACAATTATCACGAGGATAGTATTACGGTAATCGATGTTGTGCCGTCGCCTGGAATCTAACCGGGTGGGTCGGTCTGAGAGGCGAAGCGCCGGTCACCGTTAACCTCAGAGGCGCCGCAAATCGCAACATACAAAAGGTCAACAACCCCCTCCAGCCTCATCTCGCCCCGACCTGGTCCACCTCTACCAGTGTCCACCTCTACCAGTGTCCACCTCAACCCTCACACCCAGGAGCTGTCCACCTCTACCAGTGTCCACCTCAACCAGTGTCCACCTCAACCCCCACACCCAGGAGCTGTCCACCTCTACCAGTGTCCACCTCAACCAGTGTCCACCTCAACCCCCACACCCAGGAGCTGTCCACCTCTACCAGTGTCCACCTCAACCAATGTCCACCTCTACCAGTGTCCCCCTGAACCAGTGTCCACCTCAAACCTCACACCCAGGCGCTGTCCACCTCAACCAATGTCCACCTCAACCAGTGTCCACCTCTACCCAGTGTCCACCTCTACCCAGTGTCCACCTCAACCAGTGTCCACCTCAACCCTCACACCCAGGCGCTGTCCACCTCTACCAGTGTCCACCTCTACCAGTGTCCCCCTGAACCAGTGTCCACCTCAAGCCTCACACCCAGGAGCTGTCCACCTCAACCCTCACACCGAGGCGCTGTCCACCTCTCCCAGTGTCCACCTCAACCAGTGTCCATCTCAACCCTCACACCCAGGAGCTGTCCACCTCAACCCTCACACCCAGGCGATGTCCACCTCAACCAGTGTCCACCTCTACCAGTGTCCACCTCAACCCTCACACCCAGGCGATGTCCACCTCTACCAGTGTCCACCTCAACCCTCACACCCAGGCGCTGTCCACCTCAACCAATGTCCACCTTCATAACCCTTCTCCATCTCTCTCCATCTCACACACACACACACACGTCGTCCACCACCACCACGTCGACCCGCGTCCACCCCGGCCACTCACCCACAGCTCGGTGCCCCAGCTCATGACGGCCGCCCGTGGGAGCCCGAGCGCCGTGGGCTCGGCTCCTGCCTCTCGCCCGCGTCCAGGGTCTCTGCTCTCCCCTCCTCCTCCTCCTCCTCCGCCCTCCCTCTCCGGCGTCTTCGTCTTCTTCTTCTTCGTCGTCGTCTTCCCCTCAAGCTCCCCGGGGCCTTCGGTCCCTTTCAGCTCCCGATGCGCTCGCCCGCGGCGGCGACGGCTGAGGCTGAGGGGAGGTTCGGTGCCGGCTGCAGTCGCCCTCCTCCTCCTCGTTATCCTCTTCTTCTCTTCGTTATACTCCTCGTTATCCCCCTCCTCCTTGTTATCCCCCTCCTCGTTATCCTCCTCCTCTTCTCGTCGTTATCCTCCTTCTTGTTATCCTCCTCCTCCTCAGTTATCCTCCTCCTCGCTCCGTCTTCGCCTCACTGCTCTCCCGCCACTCTGCAGCACTGAGGGGCGGGGCTACTCTGTGTGGTGGGGGCTGAGGGGCGGGGCTACTCTGTGTGGTGGGGGCTGAGGGGCGGGGCTACTCTGTGTGGTGGGGGCTGAGGGGCGGGGCTACTCTGTGTGGTGGGGGCTGAGGGGCGGGGCTACTCGGTGTGGTGGGGGCTGGGGGGCGGGGCTACTCGGTGTGGTGGGGGCTGAGGGGCGGGGCTACTCGGTGTGGTGGGGGCTGGGGGGCGGGGCTACTCGGTGTGGTGGGGGCTGAGGGGCGGGGCTACTCGGTGTGGTGGGGGCTGAGGGGCGGGGCTACTCGGTGTGGTGGGGGCTGAGGGGCGGGGCTACTCGGTGTGGTGGGGGCTGAGGGGCGGGGCTACTCGGTGTGGTGGGGGCTGGGGGGCGGGGCTACTCGGTTTGGTGGGGGCTGAGGGGCGGGGCTACTCGGTTGGTGGGGGCTGGGGGCGGGGCTACTCGGTGTGGTGGGGGCTGAGGGGCGGGGCTACTCGGTGTGGTGGGGGCTGAGGGGCGGGGCTACTCGGTGTGGTGGGGGCTGAGGGGCAGGGCTACTCGGTGTGGTGGGGGCTGAGGGGCGGGGCTACTCTGTGTGGTGGGGGCTGGGGGGCGGGGCTACTCTGTGTGGTGGGGGCTGGAGGGGCGGGGCTACTCTGTGTGGTGGGGGCTGAGGGGCGGGGCTACTCTGTGTGGTGGGGGCTGGGGGGCGGGGCTACTCTGTGTGGTGGGGTCTGAGGGGCGGGGCTACTCTGTGTGGTGGGGTCTGAGGGGCGGGGCTACTCGGTGTGGTGGGGGCTGAGGGGCGGGGCTACTCGGTGTGGTGGGGGCTGAGGGGGCGGGGCTACTCTGTGTGGTGGGGGCTGAGGGGCGGGGCTACTCGGTGTGGTGGGGGCTGGGGGGCGGGGCTACTCTGTGTGGTGGGGGCTGAGGGGCGGGGCTACTCGGTGTGGTGGGGGCTGGGGGGCGGGGCTACTCGGTGTGGTGGGGGCTGAGGGGCGGGGCTACTCTGTGTGGTGGGGGCTGAGGGGCGGGGCTAATCTGTGTGGATGGGGGCTGAGGGGCGGGGCTACTCGGTGTGGTGGGGGCTGAGGGGCGGGGCTACTCTGTGTGGTGGGGGCTGGGGGGCGGGGCTACTCGGTGTGGTGGGGGCTGGGGGGCGGGGCTACTCGGTGTGGTGGGGACTGAGGGGCGGGGCTACTCGGTGTGGTGGGGGCTGAGGGGCGGGGCTACTCGGTGTGGTGGGGGCTGAGGGGCGGGGCTACTCGGTGTGGTGGGGGCTGAGGGGCGGGGCTACTCGGTGTGGTGGGGGCTGGGGGGCGGGGCTACTCGGTGTGGTGGGGGCTGAGGGGCGGGGCTACTCGGTGTGGTGGGGGCTGGGGGGCGGGGCTACTCGGTGTGGTGGGGGCTGAGGGGCGGGGCTACTCGGTGTGGTGGGGGCTGAGGGGCGGGGCTACTCGGTGTGGTGGGGGCTGAGGGGCGGGGCTACTCGGTGTGGTGGGGGCTGAGGGGCGGGGCTACTCGGTGTGGTGGGGGCTGGGGGGCGGGGCTACTCGGTGTGGTGGGGGCTGAGGGGCGGGGCTACTCGGTGTGGTGGGGGCTGGGGGGCGGGGCTACTCGGTGTGGTGGGGGCTGAGGGGCGGGGCTACTCGGTGTGGTGGGGGCTGAGGGGCGGGGCTACTCGGTGTGGTGGGGGCTGAGGGGCGGGGCTACTCTGTGTGGTGGGGGCTGGGGGGCGGGGCTACTCTGTGTGGTGGGGGCTGAGGGGCGGGGCTACTCTGTGTGGTGGGGGCTGGGGGGCGGGGCTACTCTGTGTGGTGGGGGCTGGGGGGCGGGGCTACTCTGTGTGGTGGGGTCTGAGGGGCGGGGCTACACTGTGTGGTGGGGGCTGAGGGGCGGGGCTACTCGGTGTGGTGGGGGCTGGGGGGCGGGGCTACTCTGTGTGGTGGGGGCTGGGGGGCGGGGCTACTCGGTGTGGTGGGGGCTGGGGGGCGGGGCTACTCTGTGTGGTGGGGGCTGAGGGGCGGGGCTACTCGGTGTGGTGGGGGCTGGGGGGCGGGGCTACTCGGTGTGGTGGGGGCTGAGGGGCGGGGCTACTCTGTGTGGTGGGGGGCTGAGGGGCGGGGCTAATCTGTGTGATGGGGGCTGGGGGGCGGGGCTACTCGGTGTGGTGGGGGCTGAGGGGCGGGGCTACTCTGTGTGGTGGGGGCTGGGGGGCGGGGCTACTCTGTGTGGTGGGGGCTGGGGGGCGGGGCTACTCTGTGTGGTGGGGGCTGGGGGGCGGGGCTACTCTGTGTGGTGGGGGCTGAGGGGCGGGGCTACTCTGTGTGGTGGGGGCTGGGGGGCGGGGCTACTCGGTGTGGTGGGGGCTGAGGGGCGGGAGAATGTGAGGGGTGCGGGGGCGGTGGGGGCAGGGGGGGGTAAAGATTTCCCGCGCATGCGCACACGATGCTGCTTCGCTCAACTCTCGCTGTCACTCTTCCCTAACTCCGCCTCCACCCCCCCCCACTCATTTGCATACCCCCCGCCCTCTCGCTCCTTATTAGGGGGGATCACCCCCCCGCCCTCACTCCTTATTAAGGGCGGGGTTTCCCCCTCCGCCCCCTCACTCCTTATAAGGAAATAGCTCCGCCCTCCTATTATCGCCCCACCCATCACACCCATTACTTCAATTTTTAAAAAATTAACCCGTAAAAACAAAGTTTTTCACTATAAATCCTTTATGTGCGTGGCATCGGTTTTATTTTATTATTCATTTCTGTTTTTCTTGAGTAAGAGTTTCATTTTATCACATTGGTATTTTAAATTTAATATGAAATTTTTTGTTTTTCCTAAAAAGTGTAAAAAAATTTTTGCGATTTTTTTTCCACGAAAATCAATTGTCACGCACAACGAGTCTGTGTGCAAAATGTCAGCTCGATTGGATCACGGGAAGTGGGTTTAAAAACGACCGAAAGATTTGCACGGTCCTAAGCACGCACGCAAGCACGCAAGCAAGCAAGCAAGCGAACTTAATATAAAGGATTTAAAAACCCACCCCCCCCCCCAATACCAACACCCGCAATTCCTCCACTAAGTGACGGCGGTGTCACCACGGCGCCCGTGCCAGGCCAGGGTGCACTTAGAGGCCACACTGAACGAAGTCGTCCAAGGCTCGCTGGCCAGGAGATCACGGGACAAGGCCACAGGCGGTGGGGGGCGTCCATAAATGACGTCACGCGATTTTGGACGATTTTTGACCCCCCCCCCCCCCCCCCCCCCCATCGTCACATGGCGTCACAGAAAGTCAGACCCCCCCCCCCACAAATTTGACGTCACAAAGCTCTGCCCCCCCCCCCCCCCAAAAATATATATAAAACATGCTTCAAATCGCTTTAAACTATTGTCATTGTAGTGCGTATTTAATGTGGCGCTGCACTCTGATGTTGTAGGAGAAAACATTTATGAAAAAGTCTATTTAATTATCTAGAACGTGTTGTCTGTATTTATTTAAAGTGGCGCATTTTGATGTGACGTCACATTTCTCCCCTCCCTCCTCGTCACACATCGTCACAAATGTCTGACCCCCCCCCTCCCCAGGTGCGTGACGTCATTTATGGACGGCCCCTTTAAAGTATTCTCCGATTCATTGAAGCTGTAACGTTTTGTGGCAAAGCTCAGAGCTTAACAGCCCGGTCGGTAAACATTTAAACGTTGTTGAGCAAACGTTTGTCCAGCGGTTCCAACCATATGCCCATACGTTGACCCAACGTTGCACGTTCAGTAAACATGTTTAGGAGGGAAATATTCACATGCCAATAAAAACAAACTCGACATCAGATAATAACATTTTATAATTCTCATCAGGCCCCGTGGTGTAAAGTGCTGTCTCCCAACTCTTATCATTCGCCTATTTCGATTTAAAGCTTTCGTGACTGCAGGGATTCATCTTCTTGGTTCTTTCGGTAAAGTCACGTAGAAGGGAAATAATAAAATAAATAAAATAACACATAACAATGATATAATTTACAAAACAACGCACCCATCCCATCAGGCCGAACGGTATTCCGGGAGTACAAATCATCAGCAAGCATTGGTCCAGGCAATCAGTCCTCGTTGACTCTGCTGATGAGACGCTGAAATGTCAAAACCAATCCTTGCCCCTAAACATCTGGGCAGTTAAATTTCGATTTAAAGCTTTCGTGACTGCAGGGATTCATCTTCTTGGTTCTTTCGGTAAAGTCACGTAGAAGGGAAGTTATAAAATAATAAAAATAAAACATAATAAAATAATTCTCACGACGTTTCGGCCACAACGCAAGCAGCCGTCCTCAGGTGAAAACCAGGTCCGTTGAGGCGACAGAGTCTGAATGAAACAGCACACGAGCTTGGAGCATATATATAAGCTGGGCGCCTTGACAAATGAATTTGCATATCAAGAGGAATTTCACCTGAGGACTACTGCTGAGGACTGCTGCTTGCGTTGTGGCCGATACGTCGTGAGAATTATTTTATTATGTTTTATTTTTATCATTTTATTACTTCCCTTCTACGTGACTTTACCGAAAGAACCAAGAAGATTCGCCTATTTGCGCCATGAAGAAGGGCCATTGTTCGAAACGTCACCTATTGCATTTCCCTCCCCCCCCCCCCAATTTTCAAGGCTAGATTTGAAGCTTTCGTGACTGCAAGGATTCATATTCTTAGGTTTTTTCGGTAAAGTCACGTAGGTAAAACATTACAATTAATAAAAGTAAAATAAAATAAAAATCACGACGTTTCGGAAGCAACACAAGCTTCCGTCTTCAGGTGTAACCGTCACAGTCACAGTTCCACCTGAAGACGGAAGCTTGTGTTGCTTCCGAAACGTCGTGATTTTTATTTTATTTTACTTTTATTAATTGTAATGTTTTACCTACGTGACTTTACCGAAAAAACCTAAGAGTATAATTTTCAAGGCCACGGTGTTATTGGCGAATGTGTTGAGTTTAATGCGCGGCAAATGGGATTACTTGCCGACACTTTAGCGTATAAAGTGGCGGTGGTGAGTGTGGCGCGACGCCGAGAATTGCCCCCCTGGGCAATTAGCTGTTTAATCCAATTAGCGATGATGGAGTGGGGGTGGCGGTCATGCGCATTTCATTTACATCACAAGCCCAAATGCCCCACGCTCTTCGCCTCGCAAAACTTATTGCATTCGTTGTGATTTTTATTTCATAAGTGACCAAAACGCACGGAGAGTTGCATTTTTTTTTAAATCATTAATTGGGCATTGCTGCTGCATTGGCATTGCTGCTGCATTGGCATTGCTGCTGCATTGGCATTGCTGCTGCATTGGTATTGCTGCTGCATTGGTATTGCTGCTGCATTGGCATTGCTGCTGCATTGGCATTGCTGCTGCATTGGCATTGCTGCTGCATTGGCATTGCTGCTGCATTGGCATTGTTGCTGCATTGGCATAGCTGCTGCATTGGCATTGCTGCTGAATTGGCATTGTTGCTGCATTGGCATTGCTGCTGAATTGGTATTGCTGCTGCATTGGCATTGTTGCTGCATTGGCATTGTTGCTGCATTGGCATTGCTGCTGCATTGGTATTGCTGCTGCATTGGTATTGCTGCTGCATTGGCATTGCTGCTGCATTGGCATTGCTGCTGCATTGGCATTGCTGCTGCATTGACAGTGTTGCTGCTGCATTGGCATTGCTGCTGCATTGGCATTGCTGCTTGCATTGGCATTGCTGCTGCATTGGCATTTTTGCTGCATTGGCATTGTTGCTGCTGCATTGGCATTGCTGCTGCATTGGCATTGCTGCTGCATTGGCATTGCTGCTGCATTGACATTGCTGCTGCATTGGCATTGATGCTGCATTGGCATTGCTGCTGCATTGGTATTGCTGCTACATTGGCATTGCTGCTGCATTGGCATTGTTGCTGCATTGGCATTGTTGCTGCATTGGCATTGCTGCTGCATTGGCATTGCTGCTGCATTGGCATTGCTGCTGCATTGGCATTGCTGCTGCATTGGTATTGCTGCTACATTGGCATTGCTGCTGCATTGGCATTGCTGCTGCATTGGCATTGCTGCTGCATTGGCATTGCTGCTGCATTGGTATTGCTGCTACATTGGCATTGCTGCTGCATTGGAATTGTTGCTGCATTGGCATTGCTGCTGCATTGGCATTGTTGCTGCATTGGCATTGCTGCTGCATTGGCATTGCTGCTGCATTGGTATTGCTGCTACATTGGCATTGCTGCTGCATTGGAATTGTTGCTGCATTGGCATTGCTGCTGCATTGGCATTGTTGCTGCATTGGCATTGCTGCTGCATTGGCATTGCTGCTGCATTGGAATTGTTGCTGCATTGGCATTGCTGCTGCATTGGCATTGTTGCTGCATTGGCATTGCTGCTGCATTGGCATTGCTGCTGCATTGGTATTGCTGCTACATTGGCATTGCTGCTGCATTGGAATTGTTGCTGCATTGGCATTGCTGCTGCATTGGCATTGTTGCTGCATTGGCATTGCTGCTGCATTGGCATTGCTGCTGCATTGGAATTGTTGCTGCATTGGCATTGCTGCTGCATTGGCATTGTTGCTACATTGGCATTGCTGCTGCATTGGCATTGCTGCTGCATTGGCATTGCTGCTGCTTTGGCATTGCTGCTGCATTGGCATTGCTGCTGCATTGGCGTTGCTGCTGCATTGGCATTGCTGCTGCATTGGCATTGCTGCTGCTTTGGCATTGCTGCTGCATTGGCATTGCTGCCCTGCCCATGCTGCTGATACACTTGGGCTACGCCCATCTTCAAACCTTTATCAACAGTTTGCCTTTAGAGGCTAAAACCTTTGCCTGATGACGACCGCTTGTGTTGCGATCGAAACGTCGTGATATTCTTATTCACTTTTTTTCTATCTACGTGACTTTACCGAACGAACCTAAGAATATGGATGGTTGATGGTTGGCTACAAGCAAGTTGTCGTCACTAGAGGGCAGTGTATAAACATCCATTGATGTGCTGTCCTTCTATGCTTCCACCTCTAAGCTTCACCCAACCCCCACTGACCAGAGTGGTGAAGTATGGTCAAATAGACCCTCATTACCCACAGGCGTTAGACTCCCCCACCCCCAATCTAGTAATGGATTAATAAAAGTGTGTGTGTGGATTTCTTAGATGGTGATGGCTTGGGGAGATGAGGAGCGCTTGGGGAGGCCTCAATTCGGCAGCGGATAGATCATGGCCGGTGATGACGACGGTCCTCAGGAACGACTTCGGGCACAGGGCCAGGTTCCGAAACGTCGAAGGACGCAGTTGTTTAGCAAAGATGCTTCACCGCAGGCACAATATTAGTTATTCGGACTTTTTTTTTCTGTATTACGACAAAAAATGTTTTACAAGGCACGTGGGCCATCCCCGCATTTCGCATGAAAAAAGTTTTTTACGAAAATTCTTTTGGCGGGGGCTGCCTGGTTACGGGGCAAGACGGTTGTTTGACCATACTTCACCACGCTGGACGGCTGTTATTGACAATAGCCGGCTTTCTGTGGTCTTTATACAAAGCGCTGAATTGGCTGTCATTACGGTCAACATCGTTACCCCTAGTCCCACGAGCAATTATGCGCATTTACAAGCGTGTCATAAACAAGTCAACTGTTTTGTGTGGACAGAGTAAACAGGGCTGTTACTGAACAAACAGCCTACCCTTAATAACGTTTAATAATAATGATATTCCGTCCTGTCAAAACACTGCTGGATTAACATCTCCCAATGCCGTGTCGCGATTGTTTGATCATACTCCCCACCACGTTAGTCAACATCACATGCGAGTTTCTCTCACCAGTGTTATGCATCGTGTTATTTTGGAGCACTAACTAGATTTCCATCGTAGGCGTTTTTGTTGTTGTTCACGACTCAGTTTAGCGATGACAGACAACAGCCCCTCCATCGTAGCGAGAAATTCAAAGACGATGATTTAAATTTCGATTTAAAGCTTTTGTGACTGCAGGGATTCATCTTCTTGGTTCTCTCGGTAAAGTCACGTAGAATGGAAATAATAAAATAAAACATAATAAAATAAAACAGTATTTTTTATGTTTTATTTTATTTTCAATAAAAAAACATTATTTTATCTTTTATTTTCAATAAAAGAAATATTATTTAATGTTTTATTTTATTATTTTATTATTTCCATTCTACGTGACTTTACCGAAAGAACCAAGAAGACGATGATTATCTCCAAAGGTAGAACCCCTCGGGTAGGTGGGGAACCCTTTTCGAAAGGTTTTACGTTAAAATTTCATCGCTCACACGTTGGCCGAGGGAACCAAAAAGATAAAAAGTTTTTTCTTTTTTAATAAAGACTCTAAATTTCAGACAACACAGAAAGGTGGGTGGGTGCGTGGGTGGGTGGGGAGGCACCGTTTTCAACAATGCATTCTCTTTATTGGTTAAAACACTTTGCAGATACGCTCAACTAAACACAACTTCAAACCCTTTAAAACATCGCGAGACATAACTGCTGGAAACAAAGCTCTCTTCTTGTTGTGTTTTTTTTTTGCTTCTTCTCTCACGAGAAGTTTTTTTTAACTGGGGAGGCAGTAAAATGTGAGGCCACCAGCCAGGCTGGCTCCCATGATCTGCTCCTCACAGGTCAAGGGTCAGCAAGCTGCCCGGTACCAACACGACTGCAAGTAAAAAAAACCTGATCACTTTAACATGAAATTAAGACAGATGACGCGCTCTAAATTATCCACCCCTTCCTAGTCTACGTTGGTTAATAATAAATAAGTTCCATAATATGAATTTGCGAAATAATGTTTGTAACGTCTGTTTTTGTTGTTGTCTTTGATTCGTTTTAACACATAGGCTTTCGTGACCAATATCATCCATAATATTTGCTTTGGGTTAGATCGCGTAAATATATAAATGTGTCGTTAAACCCGCCACCACCAACTAGTAAGGGTTGTCACGTGATGAAGCGAGTTGTACTCAGATTGTAAATGTTGTGGCTTGGCTCTTCAACGCACGGGTGTGCTGTACTAGTGACGAATTGGCCACGTTCTGTTTACGTGACAACCCTTACTGGTTGGCTGTGTCAGGTGCTGGCGGGTTTAACGACACGTTCATATATTTACACGATCTAACCCCCAAAAAACCTCTATTCTGGATGTCTTTGATGCGGCCTGTTCGCTCCATCACGGAACAACGGAGACGTCGACTGAACACAACTGGCCCGATGGAAAAACACAATCTTCACGACCGCACCACGGGCTGCCGAATGCGACGTACTCAACAATTCGTGCCGGTATATCTTTACGAAGCGGGGGTTCTGGGGAAACCCGCCGAAATGTCAACCAGCCCACAAAAAAGCTGTTGCGTTTCTACAGCACTCCTAGAAAAGATGGGAAATAGACTTCGCTTTGTAAAACGATGCCGCCTTCCCACACACCCCCTCGCCATCATCGATTCACTTCCCACTCCCCTCGTAAATCCCAACGCGCCGTCGCCATTCGCGGTCAATATTTAAGGATCCATTCTTTTCTCTTTTTTTGTCAATAAACCCGTGAATGTAGCGGCCTCTAGTGGCTAGAGGGTGGTTGCATATATACACACTGTATAAAAGGCAAGGGTTGCAGCCCAGGAGGCAATTGCTTACACCACTGCAAGCAGAAACATCTCCACTAGAGAGCGCTCGAGGGTACATTCGCCTACTCTTCCACGACGGATAGATGTTTTGGAAGAGTTTAAGAGTACCCATTAGACTTTAGCCCACCACACGCAACCAGATTTAGTTTTTTTTTTTGCATTTTCCTCACACCTCCGAGTTGCACGGTCGGCCATGTACGGTGCTTAAGAAGTTCAATGTACATACGCACACACGCGCCCATCTACGCTGCTGGGTGTAACAGAGACGTGGGGATTCCGGACACTCGCACCTTCGTTTGAACTGCGGTGCCGTGAAATAGAACCGTACCGGTGACCTCTGGATCGATGACTTTTACACCACTGTCGCAGCATCCCACATACGTAACAGTTATATATGTGTGTATACAAATCTAAATATACCGCTGTCAGAAACATCGGCACGATGAGGCAGCAACTCCGAGAACCTGGGTTTCCCATTCTAGGTTGGAGTCGCCTGTGATTTTCCCGCACCTCCGATAAGCGCGTTTGGCTACGTACGGTCCGAAAGAAGTTCAACATACATATACGTAAAGGCTCTCACATGTACAGAGTTGTTGGTCTCAAGCCGGTCACCAATCATCAGCAACAATCAACATCCTTCCAGCTATTCAACGGTGTTCGTAAAATGCATAAAAGACCATCATCGCCCTTTGCGCCGACTCCTGCGCCGTGCTCAAAAAGGTGAATTGGATCGTAAGAGTGCGAGCAATGTCACAGGGACTGTACCAGGGCCATTTCTTGATCAGCTACAAAGACATTGTTACGTCGCGTACGCACACGGCAAACCTCGATTTCAAACGGATTGCAACACGTCAAACGGCAACGTCGAGGAGTGGATCTTCTCATTGTGCACGCCACGAAGCCCTCGTGAGATATTTGGCAAAGCGAACACTTTGTACCGAGATGCGGCCTTTTTACAATCAGAGTGGCTGGGATGACCGCACACGAGTCTTTAATGCCAGACATCAACCAGCTATTCACTTAAAAAAAGAAAACTGCTAAAAATCAAACTTACTCCACGTGAACGTACAATGAGTGAAGAACACGGTTAATTTGATCAAAGGTCAGACAATGCTATATAGCTTCCATTGTGCACGAGGTACGTAAGAATTCAACCCAGCAAGCGAATCTGTGAATTGTCGCAAGCTCGCCACCGCTTATTGAACTCCCAAGATATATTTTTCGTCGCACGATTGCGGTAAATGGTCAAAAGCGGCATTTCGCGGCCGCAAGGGTGGCGGCGGTGGCCGTGGCACGCGGGATGCCCCAACGAACAACGACACGCGCGATTCATCGCACGCTGCCTCGCGAGCTCAGGGATCGAATACTCATCGATGGACGTACGAATCCTTACCACAGTCTCCGGCGCGTTTCGCCCGCGCGGTAACGCACGTTCGACATCGTTTATTGCCTGACAATACAACTCTTGAGGCTCCAGAAATTTTACTGGAAAATGAAACATGGTGACAGAAGAGGGTGTGGGGGTGGGGGGAACTAAAACAAACTATATTCAGTATTGTGAATGAGTAGACACCTAGAAACACCGCAGCCGTCACCTCGCCCTCCAGTGATTACGTTTGTACGACACTGCGAGGTGCATTAAAAAAGCCCACAGTTAATATTACAGTCGGATCAAAAAGTTAAAACATCGTAAAACTCTTAAATAAGTTCTTTCCTCGTATAAATGAACGGACGAGTCTTGGCGCGAAAGTTCCGAGTCGGGCAAACGTCGCCCAAGTAACGCAAAAGGCCTCTGCGCGATTTTCTCTTGCTCGGTCACTTGGCCGAACGCTCACGCGCACTCAACGCTATCGGAGGAATTCATTTTAGCAGCAGCAGCATTAACACCCTCCGATAACACTCAACGGATGAGCCATTTGAACCCACAGCGCTCTCTCCCGTGCGCTTTCGGGCTGTGCCACGCTTTGTTCGGCACGATGTCCGATGTTTCGCGACACGTGCTGGGGAAGGAGAAGTGGGGGGGGGGGGGGTGGGGAAGCGTCTTCACGAGGTGAATTAAAGTCTTCCAAAGACGCCTCCGGCAGGTGGAAGGAAATGTCCGAGACGTCACGCGTCAAACGAGACGCAGAACCCGAGAACACGGGGGGGGGGGGGGGGGGGGAGCTAAACAAGATAACGCACGAATACCCTGGAGTAATTTGAACTCAAGCAAACGGCGCCCTCTCCCAACACCCCAACCCACTCCCCCCCCCTGGCTCCCCTTCGACTTGACGCCTCCTTCCGCTGCGTCGTTAAAAAGAACCCGCCACCGCACGATCGCGCGGGTTTTTAGTGTAGAGCGATCCACCGTTGCTCACAGCTGCTCCTCCTTAAACCTGCAATTATCGAGTTCGAGGCTGCAGACCCAGAACACACCGTGTCCTGTATCACGATCTGAGTTTATATCAGTAAATGCACACACACACACGCATTCTCACGCACACATACACATGCCGCGCGCGCGCACACACACACACGTATGCAAGCGACCGTAACACTTTTCGACCAATCACATGTCATCGTCGTCGTCCCCCTGCGAGGACCCCTGTTGGGTGGCTGCCGCACTGCTCGCGGCTGCCTGCTGCGCCTGCAGAGCCGCCTGCTGCATCTGAAGCCACTGCTGCTGCTCAATCTCCGCCTGCTGCTGTCTTGCCTGCACGACCACACGAGAACGGGGGCACAGAGGTGATTGGTCACTGCCGAATTATTATTTTTTTAAATTACAAAACAACTCAACACGTTTACACCATTGGAACCTCATTTGCCAGAAGAAAAAATATGATAATTGGTTTTTTACCCTTTTATCTGGCAACAAAACTGACACCTGTTTTTGCATAGACCACAATACCTGCAGTCATAATGCAAACAAAAAACATAACTCTGATAATGTATGCACTGTCCTTGAAGTTGATTGGTCCACACCCGAGACAGCTTTCCTTAGAGCAGGGGTCGGCAACCAAAATAACAAGAAGAGCCATTTCTTTCCAATTCGGTACAAAATTCAGTATTTCAAGAGCCGCAATGCATCTGAGTACATACTGTACATACGTACATATCGTCAAGAAGCAGCCCGTAAAGAGCCGCATGCGGCTCCGGAGCCGTAGGTTGCCGACCCCTGCCTTAGAGCCTAGTCTCACATGGTGTTGCACCAGATGATGCCAAAAGGCCAACACCATGTGAGACTAGACTCTAAGGAAAGCTGTCTCGGGTGTGGACCATAATAAGTAGTGTCTAAATTATTTTATACAACCCCATTAATGTATAATATGCCATATAAAATATAATTTCTTATACTCTGGAATGGATTATTTCCTTTCCCTTTATTTCTTATGGGAAAAATGCGTTTGGTGGACGTCATTTTCGGTATAAGTCCTACCTTCTGGAACGAATTAACGACGTATACCGAGGTACCACTGTATTTTGTGTTTATGCCTGCCTGCTTACTTGCCTGCGCCTACACACACAATACAAAGTGCCCCCATATAGCCTTACCAGACTTTTGGGGCAAGTACTGTTGGACAGCACCTATGAAGGCTGGCACGGCACACGAGGGGGTGGGTGGCCAGCACCACGCCCGGCCGCCTTTGTCTCCCTAGTGGCGATGTTTACACACCGCACCAGGTACTCATTTGAGACCGAGTCAACCTAGGGGAGGCCCAGGACTGGTTCAGATATTCGTCACTGGTGTAGGCCACGAGTGGGCATCGAACTCGGGTTTACCGGATTTGTAGCGCGGCGTGCTAACCACGACACGACCGCTCCCCACACACACACACACACGTGTACACACACACACACACACGTGTACACACACACACGTGTACACGCTCGTCACCGTACCTTGGCGAAGAGCTCCTGCTGCTGGCGCAGGAGCTCCTCCTCGGGTATGCCGAGGTTTTCGAGGCGCGAGCTGCCCTTGCGCCGCTTGAGCGCCACCGTCTTGCACTCCTGCAGCACGGCCTTCACCTCGCCTATGTAGGCGCCGAACCCCAGGCTCTCCAACGCTGAGCGCGAGGGTGGTGGTGCAGGTGGGGGGGGGGCAGAAACACGTCAGGACATGTTGCGATGCTCGCGGACGTACCCCGATAACTAAGTAACCACGTGGGGATTTCTAGGTTGTGCCGTACAACTGTCCGAGGAGCTTCTGGTGGGCGGAGCAAAATGTCGGACATCGTGCCCGACGAACACACTCGCGACACGTGCATTTAAATGAAGATGACTTTTGATTTTAAAAAACTAACCATCGACTATTTTTATTTAACCAGGTAAGGTCCACTGAGCTATAAAGCTCTTTTTCAGAAGAGACCTGGCTACAAATGATAGCTCAACAGAGTGGATCATCGCGTGGAAATTTATAGCAAGCAAATACTCCACATCTAAAAACACCAAGGGGAGAACATGCAAACTCCAAATATACAGGCATCAGGGTCGGCATCGAACTCACCAGGCGACGTAGTTAACATCTCGCCACCGTGGCGCCCCAGGAGGTTACACTCAAAACTTAAAATTTAGCAGAAGAAAATCGCTACGGCCCCGATTTGCGGGCGTCACCTTTGATGACGTGCTCCGGGGAGATGGTCTTCTTCTCCGACTTGTTGCAGATGTCGTTGGCCTCGGAGGAGATGAGGTGGATGAACTCGGTGCAACATGACACCACGAGTTCGCGCGCGTCGTTGGCAACACGGACATTGGGCAGCAGCTCCTTCGCAAGGTGACAGGTGGTGGTGGAGGGGGGGGGGGATGGAACCCAGACGGTCCACGGTGAGTAAATAAGCCATGAAAGAACAAATGCTACTCTACTCTGTGTGATTTAATTTATTTATAATTTATTTTTTACCTACGTGACTTTACTAAAAAAAACAAAGAGTATGGACACTTGCAGTCACGAAAACTTCAAATCTAGAATAAATGCCACTCTGTAGGTTTTCATGGTTGGGCTTACGGGTTATACCGCTTCAAGTGCTGGGAGTTTAATAAGGACTGGTGAAGCTCCCCAGCGCACGTCAGACATCAGGCGGAACACCGAACATCACTTCATACGTACACATCAAGCTGAACAACACGCAGTACAACTCGAAAACACAACAGAAGACGAACAAACAGGTGAACTGACCAAGTGGACAAAACCATTTCTTAAGACACACTGGTCTAAATGAACATCAAGTCCCCCGAAAATGTGTGCCACTGGGTGAACAGTTATTTGTTCCCACCAACAAACACCTGTTCTCAACTACATGTGTGCGGGTTAAGCGTTGAAGGTTAGGGGCAGGTTTAGATTTCCGTGTCCATATACAACCTGAACTTTTTGGATCTTTTGCGAACTGAAGGGACAACGCCCCAGCAGGGAAGGGTCCGTATCACGAGCGGCTATGTGTGTGTGTGCATGCTGCGTGTGTGTGTGCATGCTATGTGTGTGTGTGCATGCTATGTGTGTGTGTGCATGCTGCTTGTGTTCCAAGCAGTTGAAGGCCAGACCTTGATGAGTTTGTTGATGGCTGCGCGTGGGATGGTGAGGTCGTCATCGGTGCCGCTGCTAGACGCCATGTCTCCTCCCACCCTCCGGGGTTCTGCTGTCCCTCCACGAATCTCTCTCCCTCTCCTCCTCCTTCTCCTCCTCCTCACACGCGCTCTGCGTCTCCTTGCACCTCTGCTTCAGTCTCGGTCAGAGCAGAACCGTTGCCCAGATGCTCGTTTCTTTCTTAAAGAGGTGACGATTGATGGCCTGGTCTTTGCTTGAACGCCACAGCACTGTTAGAAAATAAACAAAACATTAAATGTAACAAACATTCTCTCCATTAACGCAAATGAACTAGCATTTTACAGCTGGACTTATTTAAGTCGACACTCTTATTACATTTAGTGTTGCTCATTCATTTGAATCCTAAAATGGAAAATTACAAAATCTCCCGACGGTGTGCGGAGACTGTCGTCACAAGAACAGACCATGGAACATACAACGACCGAATGCCGATTCACAAATACTGGAGTGACATCATCACTGGGATACACTCCGCTACTTCCGACACAATCATCTTGCTCAACTTCATCGATGTCACAGCCGTTGATCTACAATCATCAATATCGGCCACGCAAATAAGATATTATTCTTTCCGAGCAAGCGTGAGCACTCCGCGCACCAATGGCAATCCGAGTCAAAAGTGGAGGTGAACCTCTTCAGCGTTGGTGGTCCTTAGACCAGCGAGCGGAAATTCCACGTTCCCATAACGAGAGGCAGTGTCAATACAACCAAGCCTCTGTCAACTTCCCACAGGGCGTCGCTCATGTCGTTGACCCTGGAGGAATGATGGATTGAGCCTACACCCGTGGTGATGTAGCTCTCGAGTATGCAGGCGGTGCAATTGCACGGCAGCCTACGGGCGATGAAGAGGGGAGGGGCATTTAATTACTTCCACCATGGCACATGCTAACCACGCAACGTCACTGCCTGACCAGGATATGAACTCCCAGAATATGTCAAGTGCCCAAATCGCAACTATTTCAGGGGGTTTTGTTGGCAGCAGTTTAGAAGCTGCAAATACTCTGCCGCGTTCGTCATTGACAACGCCAAACAGTTCAGTAAATTTTTTCTGGTGACCAAAAAATTATCTTCGCTCGGGCGTCGTGAAGTTCAGCGCTTTGGGATGCGTTATGCATGAACGACACCGCATACGATAAAACTATTATTACTGTCATTATTATTCTCTGGGCTTTCACTGATGTCAGATGCTTAAGTGTTCACTGTCCGTGGTGCTGACGTCAAGAAAAAAACGCCAATTTTTTTTTATTTTCTTGCTGTGGATTTCACACCTGATGATGATTGCTTGTATTGCAGTCGAAACGTCGTGATAATTGTATTTATATTTTTATTATTTTATTGTTTCCCTTCTACGTGACTTTACCGAAAGAACCAAGTATATGAATCCCTGCAGTCACGAAAGCTTGAGATAAAAATTTGGTTCATGTTGTTTACCTCCGTAACTTTGATGGTGTCTGTCTTGTGTGGCGGGCAACAAGAGGCCAGTGCCGAAACATCAATTGCTGTCCTGTGTATCTGTTCTACGCCTATGCTCCCGTGGTGAAGTATGGTTAAATAACCCACCCTGCACGACCTGCATGGTGTGGGTAGATCCTCATCCAGTTGCTTGTCGCATTGTTCATCCTTTATATCGTCAGCCATAATCAATCCGCACCCAACCGCCTCGCCTCCCCCAGTGCTTATGTTTATACACACCGCACCAGGTACTCATTTAAGGCTGAGTCGACCTAGAGAAGACCCGGGACTGGTCCAGATTATCGTCACTGGTGTTGGTGGCCGTGAGCGGAGGGCTCTGACCGCGACACTACTGCTCCCCACAATTCACTCATCCACCCACACACTTAAAAACTCATTCACTCACCCACATTACCCACCCACCCACCCACGCGCTCACTCGCACACACTCACTCCCTCCCTGGCACACACTCACCTACCCATTCACCCACACACTCACCTACCCATTCACCCACACACTCACTCCCACCAACACACTTACTCACCCACTCACTCTCTCACCCACTCACTCTCTCACCCACCCACTCACTCCCTCCCTCCCTCGCACACACTCACCCACCCATTCATCCACACACTCACTCCGTCACCAAACCACTCATCCACATACCCACCGACTCACTCTCTCATACACCCACACACTTACTCACCCTCTCACCCAACCACTAATCCACCCACCCACACACTCCCTCACCAAACCACTCATCCACATACTCACTCACCCACCGACTCACTCTCTCACCAAACCACTTATCCACCCACACACTCCCTCACCAAACCCCTCACCCACTCACTCTCACCCTCACCAAACCACTCACCCACTCATCCACATACTCACTCACCCTCACCAACTCACTCTCTCACACACCCACCCACTCACCCACACACTCACTCCCTCACCAAACCACTCACCCACATACTCACTCACGCACCGGCTCACCCTCTAACCCACCGACTCACACTCTCACCCTCTCTCACCCACACACTCACCCTCTCACCCACCCACCCATTCACCCACAAACTTACTCACCCTCTCACCCAACCACGTATCCACCGACACACTCAATCCCTCACCAAACCACTAACCCACTCATCCACATACTCACTCACCCTCACCCACACACTCACCCACTCACTCTCTCACCCACCCACCCATACACCCACACACTCACCCTCTCACCCAACCACTTATCCACCCACACACTCACTCCCTCACCAAACCACTCACCCACTCATCCACATACCCTCTCACCCACACACTCACTCCCTCACCCACCCACTCTCTCACCCACCCATACACCGACCGCAATCTTCTCCCAATCGTCTCTTCTCCCCCGCCCTCCCACACCAAATCATTACAACTTTGCTCAATACAAGAGGCGCGATCATTCTCGTGAATCACACTGAAGAGTGCCGTTTGTTACTGGCCGCTTGAGCGTTTTGGGCCTTTGAACCCACGCGTTAGACATCGTAGTCCGCACAAGCACCGCGCTGCCGAAGCGCGCACGCCATTGGCTCGAGGCACCCCACGTGACAGCGCGCGGACCAATCGCGGCCGGGAACGTCGAGCAACTCGCTTATCCGCATTGGGAAAGGCAATCGCACAGGATTGTAGGTGATAAGTGTGCAATTGGTAGCGGTGCACAGCTAAAACACGAACTTAACACGAACTAAACACGAACTAAACACCAGCGCCGCTAACTCTGCCTTGTAGAGAAATACAACAAGTGACGTTCCAGGCAATGGTCCTTCTGCATGGCACACAAGAGAGGCCAGAATAGTTAAGTTTGCACCCCCCCCCCCTCCAACATATACACTAACGGGGATCAGGTAAAAGTTTAATATTAAAGTGAGTTTAAAGCTTTCCCGACTTAACGTTGAACGAGCTACCTAACTCACCGTCTCTGTTCACCCGTGACATCTCTAACAGGGTCCACCCACCTCCCACCTCCCATTCACATCGTGCACGCCCGCGGTGTCTGTGTGTGTGTGTTGTGTGCAGTTTCCCAGCTGTTGTTATATCTTAACCAAACACACGGTCTTTATTTTCTCTCTCCGATACGAACACGAAGGACCCATTTCGTGTATTCCTCTTAAGATGCGTGACAAGGAAACCGGTGGAAGAAGAGCTAAACCACCGCGTGTGATCGGGGACGACACACATGCTCCACGCACCGTGATGGCTTTTATTCCTCCTCTTGTTTGCTCCTCCTTCTCCACCTCGTCGTCCACCTCGTCGTCCACCTAGTCGTCCACCTAGTCGTCCACCTCGTCGTCCACCAACCTCCTCCGTGGCTCTGATGTTACCGGCGTCTTTCGCGAGGCAGCCGCGACTAGAGGCTCCCTCCGCTGGCTTGGGGCACTGCTGCGCATGCGCGCGGAGTCGATTCCATGTCCCCCAATAAATATTCAGTTTAAATGTTAACAAATTCATGGATCGATTTTTTTTGACAATTTATTACAGAATATTTTATTTATAAAAATGTTTTTTTAATCAGAAAATTGCGGCTGTTGTTCAAATAAATTATTGCTATTCCAAAAAAATATTAATAATAATAAAAGCTGGATCTTTGTAATAATAAAAGCTGGATCTTTGTAATACCTTCTGACATCGATTCCTGTCACAACAGCGCTTGTGCCAGGCTAGGTGCACACCGAGGCATATGGCGTGAAGTTGATGGCAAGTAGGTCACGAGACTCGGGTGCTGTGCATTGACTGATGTGCCAGGCTAGGTGCAGGAGGAGGTCTTATATTTCGATTTAAAGCTTTCGTGATTGCAGGGATTCATATTCTTGGTTCTTTCGGTAAAGTCGAAACGTCGTGAGAATTTTATTGTTTAATTTTTTTTATTTCCCTTCTACTTAACTTTACCGTAACTTTCTAACCTGCCCAGACCAATATTATCCAGCAGAATGTGTTTAAGCAAGCATATTGTACCGTAGTAATAGGTTTTTACCCTTTCAACTGGTACAAAAACTGACACCTTTATACAAGGTCTCATAGTGTATATTGTACCGGTTTAGTCCACCTGGGTCTAATCAGAATATCAGAATATTTATTGATACGGGAGGAATCCGATGAGCTTTAAAACTCTTTTTCACAGATGTCCAGAAGTATTCACAGAGGTCCAGTAACACTGGTCTACAATTTTTTAGACGTCGTTTGCTTCAGAGATAAAATGTGCTGTTATGGATTTTGATGTGCCGAATTAAAATATTACACTTAAAACAACTGATTGGCTACTGTTCCCATGATATTTAAGTTTAAAAAATGTATGTCTATGTATATTGTGTAGATAGAGTTTTACTCATAAATTGTAAACCTATGTCTTTTCATGTGTTTATGGTTGCTTTATATGATAACATGTCACCTGCCCTGTTCATGTAACACTTAAAAAATCAACAAAAGGGTTATATAAAAAAGGAGGAAAAACACTATTATGTATAAGTACATAGTTTAGTCCTTATTCAGTGTCTACTCGGTGCTTCATGACTTGTCTCTTGTATTCATTAAATGTAACATCTCTTATCACTGTACAGCAATAGTCTACAAGCATTTATGGGCTCCATTTGCCCTGATAGCGTTTCTCCATTGTTGCAATGTCCTGGTGAAATCGCTTGCCATGCTCACTGCTCCGCAGTTTGGGGTGAACAAATCTAGATGAGAGTGCAAAAATGTATTTTTACTGACATGTTGCAACCAAGGCTTTTGTATGCCTTGAGGTTTTCCACCAACTCGCTGTAGTTGTCTGCCTTGTTGTTTCCGAGAAAAACTTTTTTCCACTAACTGGAAGGCGTTCCATGCCGTCTTTTCCTTGCCACGCAGTGCACTGTCAAATGTATCATCTCGAAGAAGTTCACGAATCTGAGGGCCAACAAAGACACCTTCCTTTATCTTAGCTTCACTTATCCTTGTAAATTTTCCACGTAGGTACTTGAAAGCTGCTTGTGTTTTGTCCATGGCTTTGACAAAGTTTTTTTATCAGACCCAGCTTGATGAGTAAGGGTGGTAACAAAATCTTCCTTGATCGAACAAGTGGTGGATACTGAACACTTTTCCTCACAGGCTCCAATGACTGTCGGACGGGCCAACCTATCTTGATGTAGTCGGAATCTCTCACAAGAGAAAACAGCAGTACTTTGTCTATCCAGTCTGCAGACCAAGCAAGAGAGCAACAACCTTCAAATCGCCACAAAGCTGTCACTGATGTTGGTCATAGTGTATGCACCTCAAAAGATGTTTCATGTTGTCATAGGTTTCCTTCATATGGACTGCTTGACCAACTGGAATTGATGGCAAAATATTGCCATTATGGAGCAAAACAGCTTTAAGTCTCATCTTCGATTAATCAATGAATAGTCTCCACTCATCTGGATCATGAACGATGTTGAGGGCTGCTATCACACCATCGATGTTGTTGCAGGCTACAAGATCACCTTCCATGAAGAAGAATAGGACAAGATCCTTTTGACGGTCACGGAACATGGAAACCCAAACATCACCTGCCAGGAGATCCCACTGCTGCAGTCTGGAGCCCAACAGCTCTGCCTTACTCTTGGGTAGTTCCAAATCCCTGACAAGGTCTTTCAGTTCACCTTGCAGGGGCGGTTTCTTCATTAGCGCGATTGGGCGACGCACCACCAATGTCATTAAACCACAGAGTTACGCTAGGCGTTACTGTGCCTCTGGATATAGTCCAATCAGCGTCATGCTACGTTCTGTGGAGTACCGCCTCTTTTTGGGCGATTTCACCCCGGCTGAGAATCGCCCCGAGTGTTCCCATAGACTTACATTCAAAGATGTTTTTTTTCGAACCGGGGCGCTGCAACGCATTCTCTATGGCTTCCGGGAGGGCTCGCCCTAACGTGCTTACGTCATCATACGTAAGCACATTTCATCCAACAATATTATTTGTCGCCACCTAGTGGAATCTTTAATAAAAGAAACTGAGTGGATTGTAATAATAGTGAGTATAGAAACAAACAAGATGTATTGTAAGAGTCACTTTATTTTGCATTAATATTAAAGAAGTGAAGTTGCCTTTACATGCTTAAGCTGTTAATTTATCCATTGCATGGGTGGACCTTATCCTTATCAATCATCCAGACATTTGCCCCCCCTGAGAGATTTTGCAGGAGCCGCCACTGTCACCTTGTGTTATAAGGTGTGGTTCAGAGGAGGATGGGAGAAAATATGGGTCATGTGACCTTGATGGTTCAGGACCAGAAGTTTCATCCTCTTCCTCGTCTGACTCAAGTGAGAATGATTCTGCTGCATGAGGAACCGACAGTCCTTCTTCGTGGGGTACTGGGCGTATAGCTGATGGAATGTTTGGATAATGCACAGTCCACTTTTTATTCTTTGACACACCACGCCCGGCCGCCTTTGTCTCCCTAGCGGCGATGTTTAACTACACACTGCAACCAGGTACTAATTTTGAGTCTGAGTCGACTTAGGGGAGGCCCAGGACCGGTTCAGATAATCGCCACTTGTGTTGGCTCAGTGGGCCTTACCTAGTAAGATCAAATATAGTTCAGTTTTATTTGCACATATGTTTAAAGTGATTTGTTTACTTTGCCTATAATTTGCACTCTTATCGTCTTTTTAAATCCTTTATATTAAGTTCGCTTGCTTGCTTGCGTGCTTGCGTGCTTGCTTGCTTGCTTACGACCGTGCAAATCTTTCGGTCGTTTTTTAACCCACTTCCCGTGATCCAATCGAGCTGACATTTTCCACACAGACTCGTTGTGCGTGACAATTAATCTTCGTGAAAAATTTTTTCCAAAATTTTACACTGTTTAGGGAATTTTTTTTAAATATTGAATTACCAATTGCTTAATGGTGGCAGACAATCATCTGGGCCTCCCCTAGGTCGACTCAGACTCAAGCCAGAGGACGAGAGGACTCTAGCCGCCACGCATATAAAGGATTTATAGTGAAAAACGTAGTTTTTACGGGTTATACTTATTGTATTATTTGTTGTCGTAACATTCTGACATGCCCCTACTGGACATATGTGGAAAAAAAGCTTCATAGCTCATCGGATTCCTCCAATGCAGATAAATATTCTTATCAATAATAATTTCTGATCCTCAGCTTGGCTCCTCTGCCGGGTTCATGGGGCTAGCCGCGCTAACTGCTGCGCCACCGCTCCCCCCCCAACCCCCCCACGTCACCCCCTCCAACCCCCCAAACCCGCCACGTCTCCCCCCCAAACCCCCCCACGTCAACCCCTCCAACCCCCCACGTCCCCCCCCCCCCCACGTAACCCCCAACCCCAACGTCACCCCCACCTCATCCCCCCCCACGTCACCCCCCCCAAACCCTCCACGTCACCCCCCCCCCACCTCATCCCCCCCCCCCCCACGTCACCCCCAACCCTCCACGTCACCCCCCCCACGTCACCCCCCCCACGTCACCCCCCCCACGTCACCCCCCAACCCTCCACGTCACCCCCCCCCCACGTCACCCCCAACCCCAACGTCACCCCCACCCCCTCATCCCCCCACCCACGTCACCCCCCCCCACCCTCCCCAAACCCCCTACGTCACCCCCCCCCCCACGTCACCCCCCCCCCCACCTCATCCCCCCCCACGTCACCCCACCCCCCACGTCACCCCCCCCACCTCATCCCCCCCCACCTCATCCCCCCCCCACGTCACCCCCCCCACGTCACCCCCCCCACCTCATCCCCCCCCCACGTCACCCCCCCCCCACGTCACCCCCCCCACCTCATCCCCCCCCCCCACGTCACCCCACCCCCCACCACCACGAGGCGACACATCCGGCCACCCTCGTTTCGCGTCACGCCCGCCCCCACGTCACCCCCACCCCCAATTGGCTCGCGTGAGCCGTCACGTGGGGCTCGCGCAGCCAATCACACGTAGAGGGGCGGGGCTTCGCGTCACCCACACGACGCACAGAGACGGAGCGAGAGAGTCGCTTCGCCATGGCCGCTGTCACTTGCAAGCGTCGTAGCAGCAGCAACAGCAACAACAACAGCAGCCTGTCGTCGTCCTCCTGCCTCTCCTCTGCGTCTCCTCACGCCACTCGTTCTCCTCGGCCTCGCTCTGCGTACCGGCGAGGCGCGCAAGCATCACCTCAGCCTGCGGGTGAGCGAGCGAGATGGTCGGGTCGGTGATGGCGGGTGAGGGCGGGTCGGTTGTGGGGCTCTTGTGAGGGTTGTAGGGTCGGTGGTGGTTGTTGTTGTTGATGGTTGTTGTTGTTGTTGATGGTGGTTGGTGGGGAAGCGGTGGCGTAGCGTTTCGCGGCTACAAACTCATCCCCGCTCGCGGCCAACACCGGTGACGATTGTCTTAACCGGTCCTGGGCCTCCCCTAGGTCGACTCGGCGTCGAATGAGATGTGTAAACATCGCCACTGGGGAGACAAAGGCGGCCGGGCGTGGTGTTGGTTACCCCACCCGACGGCCTTCATAGGTGCCGCTACACGCTAACAGCACTTGGCCCAATAGCCTCTCTTAAGGCTTTGGCGGTGGCATCTTTGTTGATGGTGACACAAGCAGGCGGATGCAGGAGAATGGCGAGTTTAAGATTGTACTTGTGCTAAATTCCTCTTGATTTGCTAATTATTTTGTCAAGGCGCTCTTCTTCCCCCCCCCCCTCCAAACCAGCTTAAATATACGCTCCAAGCTTGGTGGTGTTTCATTCTTCACCTGAGGACGGCTGCTTGCGTTGTGGCCGAAACGTCGTGAGAATTATTTTATTATGTTTTATTTTTTATTATTTTATTACTTCCCTTCTACGTGTCTTTACCAAAAGAACCAAGAAGATTGTACTCCCGTCGTAGTAGGGTTCCGTCTGCCGGGTACGGTGGTCTTGAACCTCCCGAGAAATTACCACCTCAACTTCACCGGGTCAAGCTGCGGATATTAAAGTTGCTTCGCCACCTGGCCGATTAATTTTGGCTGCGTTGGGTGGTTGATGGTATTACGACACAACTCCGGTTAGATTTCCCAAAGGTGGATAAAACATCAAAATTAATGAAAATAAAATAAAAATCATTAATTTTGATGTTTTACCTACGTGACTTTACCGAAAAAACCTAAGAATATGAATCCTTGCAGTCACGAAAGCTTCAAATCTAGATTTCCCAAAGGTGGCTTTAAAGCCAAAGATTAATTGTAAATAGGTTTAACAGTAGGAACAACGTTAACACGTAGGCTTTCGCGACCAATATTTATAATATAAGTTTTTTTGGGTCCGATCGCGTTATTTATAAATGTGTCGTAAGACACATTTATAAATAACGCGATCTGACCCAAAAAACCTATATTATGAGTTGGAACAACGTTAACGTTTGAAGCAGTGGATGTTCAGGGTGCATAGGCAAGCTGGCCGCATTGATACCGTGCAGGGGAAATATCTTACGTGAACGTGGAGCGTCCTCAAAACCCAACGCGTTTCGTGAGGGTTTTGACCATACTTCACCGCGCCGGTCAAATGCAGGTCGGCCCATGGTCGGATCGGATATCACTCCTGCCGCTGTGGTTAGCCGTGAATTTGCGAATTAAATTGGGTTCTTGAGGTTCATAGGGCAGTGCAGTTCTGACCACTGTGCTACCAACCGCGAGTCTTCGTATGACACCTTGGGGACCCTCTAATTTGCTTTCATAGTTGCTTATAACAACAGTGTCTTCTCGGTTGCCCTCATTCTGGCCCTGTAGATTCGCTATTCCCCATCACCGCTACTGTAATAAACAAAAAAAAAACTCTTCAAACTTTGCTCGATGTTGGGGGGGGGGGGGGGTCACACTTTTTGTGCCGGCCTCTTACGATGCGATCACGATTTAAATTCTGTTCAAATCCAAGTCGGGAGTGAAGCGGTGAACTCGGCGATGACCAGAGAGAGTTCAGTGTCAGGCCACGGCTAACATCAGTGGCGAAGTGATATTACGAATCTGACCTGGGCCTTCCAACCCCACACTGGAACCAGCGTGGGTGAGGTATGGGCCAAATTACCTCCGTGACCAAACGTGGTTTTGGTGGGAGCCCTTCACTCGCAAGCAGTACAACGGCAGAGGGATGTAAGTAACTGAACCTTTTTTCTTTAGCCAAATAACTTTTTCGTGCATTGCATTGAGTGTGAATTTAACGTGATGGGTTTTCTGCACCGAAATAAAGTCAATCTGGTACACGTGCGTTAACAACCCCATTCATCATGGGACCTCCTTTGCCAGTACCAAAATATGAGAATAGAGGTTTTCCCCTTTTATCTGGCAACAAAACAGGTGTTAAGTTGTTGAAACACCAAACTGAAACCTTGTACAAGGAATCATGTCTGCATTAACCACAATATTTGTGGTCAAAATGCAAACAAAAAACATACTCTGATAATATATGCATTGTCTTTGAAACTGATTGGTCCACACCAGAGACAGCTTTCTTTTGAGCCTCGTCTCAAACGGTGTTAGACCAGAGGAGTCCAAAAGGCGTACAGCCCCATCCACTTACGTATTTTACATGGAAGCCTACATACGGGCACCCTCTCCAAAATGTGAATTCAATCCTTTGGGCTCGTGTTACCACTGTTTCGGTTTTCCCTGTGGCCACTAGACCCTGTCTGCCAATGGCCGGTACGTGATTGTAATGAGAACCTCGGTTGACTGGTTTATTGAAGACGTTACTTTGGGGGGAGTGTGGCTTGAGGGATAAAATGCATCGATTCCGCGAATTCATATTTATTCCTTAGCTTATCATGCCATCGCTCGTGTGTAGGTAGGTATACATTCTTTTCCATTTGTATTGTATGCACAGTCGAGAAAGCTCGATTAAATAATGTTGAAGGCACTGGGAAAAACTCAATGTTAAGATTGTTCAGCCCCTTTGTCTGTTCACTGCTGGATGCAGGCATCTCCACGCTGTATTGGTCGTGGGGTTTTTTAAATCCTTTATATTAAGTTCGCTTGCTTGCTTGCATGCTTGCTTGCTTGCCAGCGCGCTTACGACCGTGCAAATCTTTCGGTCGTTTTTTAACCCACTTCCCGTGATCCAATCGAGCTGACATTTTCCACACAGACTCGTTGTGCGTGACAATTAATTTTCGTGAAACATTTTTCCAAAATTTTACACTGTTTAGGGAAAAAAGTATATATATTTAATTACCAATTGCTTAATGCTGGCAGACAATCATCTGACCCATAGGTGGCAGCCATCTCAAGCCAGAGGACGAGAGGACTCTAGCCGCCACGCATATAAAGGATTTAGAGTCAAAAACTTTGTTTTTACGGGTTAATTTTTATTTCTCGTGACCCTACTTCACATTGGCCAGGGGGGGAATGGTGATATTGAATGCCAGATGGTGGAAACTGTTCAAGTGTGTGCGAGTGGGGATTTATTTTAAACACACAAAAATTGGACCATTGTAACGAGGCACCACTCTAAACTAAAAACTACACGGTTTTTTATTTTACCAGGTAAGGCCCACTGAGGTATATAGCTTTTTTTCAGAAGCAACCTGGCCACAAATTATAGCTCAACGAAGTGGCGTCTTATCGGGTGGACTTTTATAGCAGCCAAATCCTCTAAACGCACGTTTCTAAATGGGGAGGTAAAAAACCGAAAGTTAAAACCGGAGGACCCAGAGGAAAATCAACGCCTCCACAGAGAGAGAGAGAGACACGCAAACTCCAGATATATAGCAGGCGTTGGCGTCTAATTGGGTCACATGACCCCAGAATCCACTGCAGGTGCCACAGTACCCACTTGATGATCCTCGAATGGAACCACGGATTGTGACAAATTGTTAGGGTGATGGGGTTTGGGGCATGGTGGGTCACATCGTGAGGGAGATGGGGGGGGGGCATTGTGGGACACATCGTGAGGGAGATGGGGGGGCATGGTGGGACACATCGTGAGGGAGATGGGGGGGGCATGGTGGGGCATCGTGAGGGAGATGGGGGGGCATGGTGGGGCATCGTGAGGGAGATGGGGGGGCATGGTGGGGCATCGTGAGGGAGATGGGGGGGCATGGTGGGGCATCGTGAGGGAGATGGGGGGGCATGGTGGGGCATCGTGAGGGAGATGGGGGGGGCATGGTGGGACATCGTGAGGGAGATGGGGGGGCATGGTGGGGCATCGTGAGGGAGATGGGGGGGCATGGTGGGGCATCGTGAGGGAGATGGGGGGGCATGGTGGGGCATCGTGAGGGAGATGGGGGGGGCATGGTGGGACATCGTGAGGGAGATGGGGGAGGGGGCATGGTGGGACAAATAGTTAGGTGCCCACTGTACAGCAATTTGCTTGTAAGGTTTTATGTTTAAACAGTGCAACTGCAGAGCACTTAGCTGCTGACCGTGGCAGACGGTCACGCTGCCCTCCAGCTATTCAGCCGCCCACGTTGACGCTTTAACTCCGAATCGCTGCGTGCGCGTACACATCCCGCTCGACGCGACAAGAGACACGCTACGCCTGCCGTGTGTTTAGCTTGTCCCCCACCCCCCCCCGTACGCACGCCCGATTAGCACGGTTGGCTCCGTACGATGCGAAATAAGTTCAACATGCATTCGTGCGTTACGCCGTCTGTTGCCACGTCGATAGTTGGTGGTGATGCTCTCGTGGGGAATGTGTCTATGCCAAGACTTCACAAACCACCGCAGGGTTTTTTTTTTTAATGTTCGTGCCAGACGTGTCTTAGAGGAGAGAGGTCACGGGAGAGACAATTTCATACAGGTCACAGCAGGTTTATCCGAAACAGGCAGACGGACGGGTTGTCAACTTAAGTATGTGCGCTTGTAACAGCAGCCCCCTTTTGTCACTCCACTGCTGGATGAGGGTCTCTCCACCGCCGCCATCATCGGTGGCGAATAAATCAACCATTCTTGGCACTCCCCCCCCCCCCCCCCCCGTGATGACTCGACCTTAAATGTGTACCTGATGCAGTGTGTGTAAACAGCCAGCACTTGGGGAGTCAAAGGTGGCCAGGCGTGGTTTTGCCCACCACCCACTCTTGCACCGTGCCGGCATCCATAGGTGCTCGCTTACTGCACTTGCCCCAACGGTCCATTAAAGGCTACACGGGGATTCTTTGTGTGTTTTTTTTCGCGTGGCATTTCATAAGCTCTACTTCGTTTGAGTGGAGAGCGCCCTGGCACC